GACAATATGGATTACATCTATAAATCTGCAATTAAGCAAAATTATAGATCAGAGTTTGTTAGGCATTGTTCTTTTTAACGATAAAGAAAAGCTTTTTAAACACATTTCTTTTAAAAGATTACGCCGTCATACAATATTTTTGCTCATCATAAGGATAACTTTGGTCACTACTACTGTATATATGCATTTTTCTTGTATAATGTTGTTTGAATAAAAGTTGTCTTTTTTTTTTATCGCAAACTGTGTTTGTGAGAGATATGAATATAAGATGGTGTCGAAATAATGAATTACTAATGACTTACGTGCATTTTTTTTTTGAAGTAAAAAAGAACAACATCCATTACATGTCGTTTTTTATGATATTACTTCAAAGAATAAATCACGTATTTTAGTACCGTCTGTTTTTCAACGCCCAACATTTATTATTTCAGTGCAACTATTATATATTGATATAGATTTACCATAGATTATAAAAATATCTAGATCAAGAAGCTCTTCGTTAGAGAGAATACATATAATGACATATAGAAACTGATTTCCACGTTTTAATCGAGGTAACTGTAGGATTTTAGTCTAACATTATTTTTCGGATTACCAGCAGAAAGATAAACTCGAGCTTCTAATCAAGATTATGTAGTTCTCAGTAAGCACAGCTTATCTTAAATGGGACTATACTAAAGCCTCCACAGATCGATTCTATGTTTGCTACAAGAACAGTCTTTTGAAAATGTTTGTGTTCTAGTGGAAGTATTCAAGAATAATTTCTCAAATTAGAATTCAGTATCCTGGATGAGTTTATATAAAAAGTTATAAATAATTCAGTGCAAGTGACATTTTTTCAGTTCCTTTAAAAATGCTCACACGTTATACAGTCGTCAATAAGTAAGTGAGAAAAAATGAACAATTTTAGAAAATATTTAGAGTTTTTATATAATAAAAATGTATCTGTCAATTATTTGAAGAGTCAACAAATCAGATTGTTGTTTATACATACATTTATTTAGACAATAACACTACGGTTAGAAATATGTAAGGCGCTCTAAATCTACTATCCATGGTAGAGTAGAGCCAAGATTCCAGCGTCACCTGAAGTCATACGAGACAGTTGGGCTACAGTTCAATAAACAGCTACTCTGTGTACGGTTAGCTGCCGCTACCGTATATAATTGGGATTGGAAAGCGATTCATCGGGAAATTTTCTATTTGATAATAAAAATGCTTACCAGATTATAACTGCATGTAATATGAAATCACATATAATTATATATCTGAATAAAACTTTTACCTATGACTGTACTCAAGACCAATAAGAGTAATAAATTTGAAAATTGTAGATCTCACTGTATCTTGATAACACAGCTCCATGACTAGTTTTAGACATAGATATAAAATCTGTAATCTGAGAATCCATATCTAAAGAGAACTATTCTAATTGAATTTTTTTCCTCTTTTTTCGAAGAAGACGTTAACATTAACAGCGACTAAGGATCATTATTTGGCTTCAATTTTTTCTTCGAGTGGGAATCAACATATGGAATTCTATATAGTTGACAGCTAGCGGTACACTTTGCTAAAGTCTAGAAGATATTTGTAGCTTAGTATGAAAAGAAATGCAAAATAACTATAGTCAAATAGACTGAACTCCTTGGATTCTCAGCATATGATGAGACCTAAATTTTTATAAAAAAACTCAAATACAGTATGAGTTATGTGTTACAGAGTGATCCTTAGTTTCATGAACTACTATATATCGGCTTTTCATGAACTTTGTAAACTTTTAATTTTCAAAAAACTCTTCAATAACTGCAATCAACCAAATATTTATTGTTTATAAACATACAATCATTCACATATCTTTTAAAATATTTTTTTGTTTTTGTAAATTGATATAATTCGAGATCCTATGAATGTTTTTGTTTAATTCATTTGATAATATTACCGCTGATGTTGTACTTGAAAGTATAGTCTCTGAAGAACGTCTTTTCTTCTTATTGTAAATACGATGTAATTAGCACGAAGACAATTTTCAAATAATTCTCGATTTAACGCTAAATTTTTAGACAAACCAAAAAATTTCAGCATTACTAAATTTCGTTGAGTATTTTATAAAACAATCAAACTTTCGTGGATAAATAATGGTGATGAACAATTGATAAACAAATTATCCGATAACATTCGAGTCTGACGATTGACAGCAGAGTTCGATGAACAGTATATTCACATGATACAGGAGCTCGCAATAATGTGGGATAGAAATATTTGAAATAAAGTAAAAAGAGCTTATTAGTGAGAATACACGGGTGCCTTCAAACTTCATAGAAAAGGGTCCTCTAGAAGAATCTATTATTATTTATAACAGAAAAAGTTAATCAGTAAAGGATTAAAACACAGAAATGTAAATATTTTTGAGATCTTAACTGTCGGAACCCAAGCAAAAACGACCCAATTTTTTGGGTTATTTATCTAGATTCAGCTCCACGTACATCTATTATAGATGTACGTGGAGAAATTGGGTCGTTTTTGCTTGGGAATTTTAGACGATCTAACTTATCAAGCCCGGTAATAATGAGAAGAATCCATCCATTACTCTCAACCTTTGTAGCACAGTGAGAGAGCCACACAGGGTTGCCAACTCAAAAGCTAAGAAATCAAAAAAAAGCCCTAAAAATCACAAGACATATTTTTTTGCCCAAAACACAGGAGAAACGGTTACATCTTAACTTTTTTTAAAACTGATTCTCATTTGCCTCGTTTTGTTCTTTTATTGTCCCGTCTGGTTTATAGAAGAAATTCAACTTCAACTGTATTTGGAGAAGAAACCAGTAACTCAAGTACTGTAGACATATATGGAGATATTACGTCAGCCCTTTTCCCAGAAACCATCTTCTCCAGTACTAATTAAAAACGCTAAAAATCAGAAAGATTCTGATAAATTAGAAGAGTTGGCAACCCTGAGGCCACGTCATCTATCTAAAAGGCAGTTAGGAAGAAATGCAAGTGCAGGAAAAAATCATTTCATTGCTAAAAATGTTGGTAATGACAACAGTTGTTATTACCGACATTTTTTCAGCATTAACGGTTAAAGTCTTTTAAATAGCACGTATATATGATTGTACCAAACTTCTAACAGCCCCTGCACAGATTACTGACAGAGTTTAAGAAATTTTTGCCGGTAAACTAAAGTTCAGAAAATATTTCTCTGTATATATGTATCGCAAAGCATTTCGTTCAGGCTGCAGTGCGTAGTATATCTGCAGATATTTGTGAAGAACCTGTCGATATTCTATGATAATTTCCCACAGATCTATGCAGATTCTGCTAGAATTCTGGTATACAATGGTATTCTCCTTGTGGATACTTTACAGAAGTTTCGCAAATTACAGAATCTATGCAGATTTGTTGCAGAAATTTACAGGCACACTCAGAAAACAAGTACTATGCGAGCTATGGAAACGAAAAGTCATAGTTGGTCAGTCTTGATCATTTAGTACGCAAACTGATAACCGATACGCATAGTTTAATTCCAATGGAATTTAATATCTATATGAAAAGTGTAGAATAAATAAAGATTTTTATTCGGCTCTGTTTGTCGTTTCCTTTTTCCACTGGAGGGAGTAAAATGCCTCAGAGTACACGACTGAATAAGTCGATGAGTCATCGTCGTTCAGTCTACTTACCAACTGAAATATCGACGGATAGTAACGGTAACCCTGTTATCATGAATAATTGAAGTTTTCAGCAACAAACAAATCCGTTTCACATCTTTCAATATTGATGCGTCCATAGCGTATAAGGCGTTGTGTTAGCGGGTAAAATCAACAAAGTGTGATAGTTCTTGTTCAGAAAAGTTGATCTTCTTTTTGTAACCTATGACATGTATTTTACCTTCGTTTTTGTTCTATACAGATAATTTAAAGTATAATTCAAAAATCCAGTCAGGCAGTAAATCACCTTATTGTTCATGGCTCTTTCCTTATATTCAATTACATCGAAGTTTAATGGTTGATAAATTTCGTTGTGAACATACAAATGTACATTCACTCATCTTATTCCATCTTAATTTTTTTACCATTGATCATTCAAATTCACTACTAGTCTTTTCTTGAATATGAATGATGAAGATTAATATATCATTTTTCCCGTTGAACAAAGTTGAAATAAAAATGAATATTTTAATTTGATTATTATCAAATAAGTAAAATAGTAGAACAATAGTCGTTACTAATGAAATAAAACAAAATCATTTGACCATATGCAAGCAACATTAACTGTTTATAATCTTTATTAGAAATGCAATGGTCGATGATGACGACGATGATGAACTTCAGACAACGGAAGAAGACAGAAAAAGAAAAAGCTTTTTACAATCGCGTTTGACCGACTTACATCTTCATTAATATGATATTAAGTTACATTATAAGCATGTGTGTGTGTAGATGTACTGATACGATTATAGAAAAGAGAAAATAGAACTTTTTCTCATTGAAATCTGTTTTCAGTTTTCATACACGATGTATTTTGATGAAAGAAAAGAAGACTAAACATTCCAGATGTCAAATATTAGAAGGCGAATATATTTTGGTAATCATTTATTGAATTGGTCACGATATCTTATGACATTAAAGTTGTACTAATTGATGTTTAAGATTTCAGCTTATCAATGGTTTCTTTATTAAGATTTTTTTATTCTTAGACCCATTTAAACTACGAAAGGCAGATTAACAACATTTTTTAAGATACCAAATAAGATTACCATACAAAATCTTTTCGATCTATCATAGTTACCTCATGCTACCGATTTTTGAGAGATAACCGTTCGCTTCACGAACTAAATAGATTAGATTTCATTATCATTAATTAGAAAAATAAAACAAAATTTATTTGAACAAGAAACAGTATTGATTTTACAAGTCAAAAAAAGAAACAAAACTGTACAAGGCCGATGTGGTGTGAGTAATTGTTAACTATGTTTCAGTAGTGTCACTATTTTTACTGTTCATCTAAACATCATCATAATTTGTTCTTAATGGACTTTTTTGTAGAAAACCATTTATCATTGAGGTATCTGTTGTTATAAAACGATGTGCATAATGATTATGTTGTTGTTGTTGTTTCTGATTATTATTGTTTCGTTGAAGTGTTGTAGATAAAACCTTGAATTTAAAATTTTTTTTCAAGGCTGTATACGAAATATATTTAAATATAAATTTCTTCTACCTCATGTTTGTGACTGTGATGTGATTTTGATGTTTGAGTACAACATGGTGACCAAATAAATGATATAACAGAGCCTATAATGGATAATAATGATTGAACAAGAGCCATTGTTAGAATAACTAATAATGCTAAATTTTCAAATGTGGGTTCTTTAGATGTCAAAAATAATGGTCTTCTAAAATAAAAATGAAAATTTTTAAAAATAATCGATCCAATCATATTTTAACTGGTAACAGATCGTTGAGTATAGATAAATTCGAAATAATTATGGTTGAAAAAGAAAGTGAACGAATGTCAATTATTCTCACATTGCATTTAATATTTTATCTATTTTCAAAACTAACAATTTACAGTCTATTCATGAGAAGATTATACTCTCGTTTAAAGTGTTGTGATTTCACTTTTAGTACACTCTTTTTAGCGTAATATAATGTGTTCAATCTATGACTCATATATACTATCAGATGTCATTGTAATTATTTTTTCTCCTTCTATTATTGAAAGAAACATATATAGTGCCTATATTATAGCCTATGGATCAAACAAACACTATAATTTTCAAAAATAGACTTCCCCTCTTTGAAACGTACGTTTGATTCAATAGCATAAAACGATATAGCGTTTCCTATCATAAAAATAATTGACTCATATTTGACTATAAATAGCCTTCGATCGATGCATACAGAGTAAACATGAGATCTAACAACTTAATGATATGAATTAATGCTACTTAAGAGACTGTTGATCGTCTCTTTTTCTAACATACGTAGTAGTTGTCGTAGTTATTTTTGGTGATAAAGTTGGGGTTGGTGTTGGTATGATCGATGATAACTGCCAACATTCAATTGTATGTAAAACAAGTAAACCAATATAAACTGATGACGAAATAAAACTAATAAATGAACCCAAACAAATTAGTACTGTCTAAAGAACGTAAAAATAGAACAGAATAAATATTATTGATTCTCAAGTAGCGTCGAAGTGTTAAATCAGAATATTTTAGTAAAAAAATATACCATCAATCGTTCTTCTAATTTGAAATCCACTTCTATTACATGAAACCTCACTGATAAGGCAAAAAAATGCTAATAAAAATTATTTGAACAATTATAAGAACAAAAGACAAATCTCTATTACTTTTACAATCCAATATACGGTAAAAGAGTTGATATCAAGCTGAATCAACGACTACATGGTGATATCATGTGTGTAATCTGTAAACTGTTTGATCACTTTTAAAGTAAATAAACATCTACACAATGAAGTAACCGAATTCAACGGCTAACCAAAATAGTAGATTGAACAAACTAAACTTCATTGTCTTTGTATGAAAAGAGTAATGCAGAGTAGTAACCCTTTGACGCTCAACGTAAGAATTTGATGATGAGCACGGAATATTTATCGATAATACTTTTAGCACTTAGACGTAATGTGATACAATAACCGTACTTACCATTACACGTCGTTTGAATATTGCATAGGTAACACTGCATAAAAATGGGATAATCGTCTAGAAAAAAAAAGAAGAAAGAGTAAATAATGAACACTATCATTTTTATCATTAAATTTAAATCATACAGCTTTAAGAATAGTAATCAAAAAGTCACCTTAACAATATACATAGTAATAGATAGACATTTATCACAATTTAGAGTGTGAAAAAGAAAAGAGAAGAAACCCTGTTATACTAGATGATTAACATTGCTCGTCAATATCCTTTTGGTAGTGAACTTTAGATTTAGATCAATCAGAAAAGAAAAATTTCTTTTATTAAATTATGTAAACTTAATAGAAACGTGATATCGGATTTTATTCACACTATGAAGAAACAATGAAAAATGATTAACAAAGACATATATATATATGTATATACGTGCAGGATTTAAATTTAAGCTTTTGTTTTGTATGTATATTTTAAAGACAAGATTTATGAAAAAAAATAAATGAATAGAAAGCTTCCTATATCAATGTATAGAGTAAAAAAATAAACATACGACTAATTGACGACCTTGTACTTATATAGAACAACAAATGTAAATGAGCTTATTCTAATGACTGAATGGATAAATAAATAAATAACTAAATAAATAAATAAAATAAATCAAGATCTTTGATGAACAAAAATGAGGCTGATTATAAATAGAATATTCTATTTTATATTTTTGATATTTTCTTGTAAGTTATTTAAAAAATGGGATTAAGTCTATAAAAAAAATTCACTTTCCCATATCATTTTTTGACATGATGTTTTCTTCTTATGCCACTGGGATCCTAGTGAAACAATCCGACAAAATGCGTATGTGATTAAATTTTAATAATGAAATATTGCCTGATCATATAGATACAAGTAAAATTCCCATGAGGTAACTAAAGAGGACTATATGTGATGTCGATTAAATATACTAGTCAGAAAACAAGAAACTAATTTCTAACGAAAAAACGTCTGGTAAAAACCCTATACATTCTTTTAAAATAGTTATGTATGTCTTGCGGATGTTATTCGCTTATTTTTAATTAAACAACTTAAATACAGTCACTTGAACCCATCTCATCACATAAGTCCGTCAGCAATATAGAAAAGAGAAAGAAAGATAAGATAAACATTCTTATTCATATTCCTAATATATACTATTGATTGTACAGATGAAAATGTTTTTCTTGCTTCTCTATTTCAGTAAAAATACACATATTTGTTGATTTTATTTTTTCTATTTTGATAATGTCAAGTGTATGTAGTGTTGTATGGATACCAGAGATAGAAAATAACGTTGGATAGTTTCGTCCGTTAACAACAATTCATCACATTCATGAAGATAATCTATTATTTCTGTCTCAGGTAGATAGATATAGGACTAATTATCATAAAAAATAATTAACATTATTAATATGTCATAGTTTTGAGCACTGTTGCGCAATATGTATTTCAAACGAGGAAAAAGTTGGGAACATTTTGCTAATATGCAAAAACTTTTCTACTTCATCTTTCATGTACAGCTAATATGATAAATCATTTTTTATTCTAATCGATATTTTTAGTCAAAGATGTTGTTTATATCTCAAAAAATGAACTAAATATTATGTACAATGAATTTGAGTCTAATAAAAAGTAACCATAGGTATTTCAACTAGGCCAGTTCTTTTAGACGCATTTTAAAAAAACTATTAGAAAGTTATATGCGCATATATCTAAAAAGCAAACTGAAACTTGCAAAATATCGAAAGTTTTATAGTTTTAGTGGGGATGTTTATATAAAATAAATCACTTATTACACTTATCTAGAAATTACAGTTAATAAGTGGAAACAATGATGGGAATAGAATATATATCTATTGGACTAGAAAAATGTATCTATATCTATATAATGTATCTAATGTTCATTTTATTAGAAATATTTTTCTATGTTGAATAGAATTTGAATCAATTTAATGTCAGATTTTTGTCAATGTAAGATTATACCAGTTATTGAACTATTTCCTTACCAATGATGCTGACCATTCCGGATAAACATACCAATAATAGGGTGATGATATTTTTGAGGTAGTTCCAATTAAATATCGATGTGTTACAGATATACCAATTTGTGATAAACCAGTTAGAAATAAAAATATTCCATAAATACATAATGTTTCAGCTTGTGCTGTTGTTTGAACGTTTATTATTGTTGACATCGTTTATTTCTAAATCGTACTAATTAAATATCATCACGTATTTTATTAGTAACAGGAAGAAATGATTGTCTTCCACTCAATAATGATCAAATTTCATTATATATAGGCGTCTCGTCTTCATTATAGTAAAAAAGATAATAAAGAATTTTTTTTTTTTTGAGACCAATTGTTTTTTGTCTTAATGGATTTTTTTTCTTTTTCTTCTTCTCTCTATGCCTTGATGTCAGTCCTTCTTTTTATAATAGTGAACGTCGTTTAGTTCATATTTTTCTATTATATCTATATACAGCTATAAATGTGTTCAACACACACAACGGCTGATTTGTCAAATGATAAATATATGATATATACATAGGAGAGATTTCTATTCTCTCGCCAAAGGCATAGAAAAACTTTTTCCTCTTTATCTATTCTATTTTTGCATAAACTAACTTATTAACCGTAGGAAGGAACAGGGTTGTAAATAGGAAGGGAGCAGGTCGCTCTCGTTCTTGATAATTGACGAAAATTTTCTTTCAACATTGTGTTGAGAGTTTTTGAAAATTTTTGTTTTTTTGACCACTGAGACGCGTAAAAAACTTAAATTTCATGCCATTTCTGAAGAGGAAATTCGGACTCTCAGTACATACGTGAGAAAAAGAACGATGAAAAAAAAAGTAAAAATATGAACATTTACACCTCATTTTCGCTTTTGTTAAAATGTATTTGTCATACACTATAAGATATATATATACAGAGAAACGAGAGAAACTTTTTTTTACGTTTTTTCTGCTTGTTCGAACACATCACTTATATGCTCACTAATATGTTTCTTCGTCTCTTTCTTTCATCACATATGTAATAAAACTGTCAAAATACAGATTCTTTAAATGTACCTGGATAAGAAAAATAATTAGAAATTTATTAGAAATACGCAAGTACTTGGGGGATAAATAAATGACAAAAGACAGTTAAATCGGGAAGTAATAAACCAATGTACTACTAACTAATCAGAGAACTGTGTTCAAATACTAAGAATCAATGACATCATTTTTACACACGTATTTCTTTCTTTTATGCACTTGACCGATTCCACTTATATATATTTTTTATTTTTATCACATCTTTTCCTAATATTATGACTCATATTCTACTATCCTAGATTTTTATTTAACTTGAAAATCAATTATCATATTTTTTTATTGAACTTTTTACTCTAACACGGAAGGACGAATCGTAACAGATTCTATTATACTTAAACTTCTATAGTCTATCATAGGGTTCATTAATATAACGAATTATTGAACCTTATTCACTATCTGCTGTCCTATAGTTTCACTCAATTTGGTGCGATTCTTGTTCTCTCGTTAATTGATTGAACAAATAGTAATCACAGACATGCACATAGAAGAATATTGTTATAAACAATTGTCGATCAGTACAAAGAATAGACATTACAAAAAGACTAGTCATACACAGCTGGTATCATACAGCATCACAGATGGGGATTTCATTAGATGTCATGTAGTTCTCAGAATTATCCATCTTATCTAGTACATGTATTGCACTATAGAAATTCTTGAATTCACCCAAGATCATGAAGAAAGCAGAAGTACTACATGCTACATCAATTCGTAATAATTTATAAACATTTTCAACTTCTTCGCCATTATACAATATACCAGTCAAGAGCATGATAGAGAAAATAGCAGTAGAATTGTCTCAACGATAGTGTGTTCGTGACGTACTTTAAAGGTACTATGCTTCATTCTCGATGCAGTTAAGTCGTCTAATAACCTTAGATTCGACAAGTTAATTATATTCAGGTAACTCGGATAATCCCTGCAATACCATACTTGCTACGTTGTGATGTGAAACGTATTTCCTCTAATTTGTTAGAAAGTTGAAGCTTGCTTTTAATGAGCAGATATCTCAGGTTTTTAATTTCTTAGCTAACATTTGTTTTTTCTTTTTTCATCAACCCTTTTAAAGGTTATCTCTATCTCTTCGTAGTAAATATGGACTATATTGTGAGAAGTGAAGGACTCCTCGGCAGACGCTCGGTTCTTGTTTCTCTCAGTCATATGTGCAATGAGCATGTACATATATACCAGTCGTTTAAACTGCCGTTAACGAAACCAACTCAATCTCAAGCTTCTTTCAGGTTTTTGACTAGTTTGTGTTACATTATATTAGCCAAAAAAAAATGTAGATCTATATACTACATCAGTGTTTCTGTAACAAACTTTTATTCGATGTAATATAATATAAGATAAAGTTAAAATTTTCAATATATCACTGCGTTTAAAATCTGGGAAAACTTTGTAACTTGAAACTGTTTTCAAACGTAATTTTTCATGTAAAAGCCTTTCTCAACTTTCAGCAATACGTCAAGTTAACCAACCAGTGAACTGAATGAAACAGAATATGAAAACCGCAGGTCTATGGCAATATGCTATTGCGGAAAAAAGACATCTCATTCTATTCAAGTTTTGAACACTCTATTCACTCATGTGGTTAGAAATGTTTTGCGATAAAGTTTGACTTTAAAAGGTTTTCTAGAAAATTCGGATCTTCCAGGTGCTTTATCTCAAAATTCCTGTATGACCAAATTTTCGTGTCTTGACATACATAGTATTTGCAATGCTCTTTCATTTAAAATAATCCGCGTCAATTTTGGAGCGGAATGCGATCCGATGTGAGCTTCACATCCTAGTCCATTTTCCCTGAAAAAACTCCCCAGAGGATCACGACATGAGTTCTCCAGGAAGTGTAAGGAAGTTTAGAGGGAGTCCTTGGGGATTTCTCAAGGAGTTTTCAAGAACGAATAAATGCTGAATTCGACTCCTTCGCTCACTTTTAAGCATAATTTAGCTTTTTTTCCACTTATCTAAAAAAGAACGAAATTAATCTAAAGAAAAGAGATGTTCTTATGTAAATTTTCACGTTTTATATACGTCTGCAGACGCAAATCAAAACGGTGAAGATATTGTACATTCTTCATAAGAAATCCCTAGAGCGTCACCCAGGAATCACCAGCAACTTCATTATTTCTCACCACCCCCTGATTTTCAGAGAGTCACCAGAGAATTTCTAGGGAATCCATGAAAACTCCATAGGGATTTCACGTTTTCTCGGGAATTCATCGGGGACTTCACTTCACTTCAAGTGGGCTAGAGCACGATGAGTCAAAATGACTGTGAAAAGGCAAAATTCCACTACTTTTCCTGCGATAGTAAAATGCCAATAACTTTTTTCCGCAACAGCGATAGACTTGCGGTTTGTGCACCTACGCACACATAGTTAGGCTCAGCTCGACGAGCTCTTCAAAATGAGGTTGGTTTTACTGCTTGGACCAAAACTTTTGTCCAGTGTGGTGTGCTTCAGGTGGATTTACACGAGTATGAAACTTGGTGCTCGTGTATCTTTCAGACTGAGATAAGGTAAAAGCAAACGCTGGGAGCAAATCACCACAATCAACGTAATCTACCTTGATTTTTGCGTTGATTGTAGTGATTTGCTTCTAGTGTTTGCGTCTAGCAAATATCAACCTAGTTCTAACTAAGGATCCCTATCGATAGAATCCAAAAGCCACCGCTCGTTAAGAATTCTGTTCTCCTGTGTATTGACTGTATTGACATTTGAACATTGAAACTCTTCAATATATAGCTAAACGGAACCAATGTCTTTCCATTTCTTTAGGTACGGCGACATACATCCAAGGAGGATTAAAAGTATATTTTTATTCGTTACAAAATACTACCAATGAGTTTAAAATGAAAAACGCAAACTATATAAAGAAAGTCAAGACATATATGTCACAACTCAGACATATATAGAGGTGTTAGCCGATTACTTTATCGGCGGCGGCGGCGAAAACCTCCAGAAAAAAATTTCCGTCTTTGGTGCCGGCAGCGTGAAAATTTTTGGGTAGAGTTGTTATACTGGCAAAAATTCTCCTCTGAGAAGTCTTAAAATGTGGTAAGGTAAGGAAGGAAATTTTCAGTACCTAGTGTTTTAGTTCACGAGGTAAAGTAAAGTAACTTTCGAAACGACTGAGCACCATACTCTACTACTGATGACGTAGAAGAGTGGGCTGCAGAATGGTGGTAAAAGGAGACATGAGAAGTACGGAACAGCGTTCATCAGTGCTCCATATAATATATTTTAGAGATAAATATCAATATAATATTTATTGCTGTCTTTTGCACATTACTCTAGCTGATAGTACAAAAAAGTTCTTATTTTCAATAATTCTTTGTCAAAGATATTTAAAAGAGTTTCGAGCAATTTTTTTATCATCGGTGGCGGCGTGAAACTTAGAAAAAAAATCCGTCTATTGCGGTGCCGGCGAGTCACTCCCGAAATGTTATGGTAAATATGTGATAACGTGATGTTAAAGTATCACAACGTTACGGTAAAAACTTGATGTTACATTTTTACTGTGTTAGTATTTTTAACATGACACCAAATAGAACATGCATTGCTACACTTTTACCGGAAAATAGAGAAGATAGTATATTCAAAATTACAGAAAAGAGTTTAAGTAAAATCATTTTACGTACAAATAGCGAGCTTTCGACACTATCACAGTACTCACATCATGATACTGTGATAGTGTCGAAAGCTCGCTATTTGTACGTAAAATGATTTTACTTAAACTCTTTTCTGTAATTTTGAATATATTATGTTTCATTAAAAACGTAAAAAAGTCAAAAAGCATCAATATAGAGAAGAAGGAGATCGAAAATAAGAAGACTTTTCACGACGATAAAGAGAAAGGACAAGATTCCTTGCCTTGAGTTTCGCAAGTTTCGCTTTCTCTTTATCGTTGTGAAAAGTCTTCTTATTTTCGATCTCTTTCTTCTGTATTTTCCGATCCTCACAAGTTTTGGAGCTCTTCCTGTTGTTTCTAAAGTGTTTGAACGTCTAATTTATAATTTTATTTTTTCTTATCTTTCTAAACATTCTTTTTTTGTTAATAAACAGTTCGGTTTTCACCCTAAACATTCCACTCTGGATGCTTTGTTGTTTTTATCTTCAACCGCCTTTGACTTTTGGAATGCTGGTGTGAAGTGTGTTGGTGTGTCTTTTGATTTCTCTAAAGTGTTTGACTCTGTTCCTCATTCTCTTTTGTTAAAAAAATTATCTCGTTGTGGTGTGTGTGATTCTTTGTTGTCTCTTCTATCTTCTTATCTCTCGAATCGTTCTCAGTGTGTGCGTGTAAATGATTCTGTCTCTTCTTCTCCTGTTCCTTCTGGGGTTCCTCAAGGCAGTGTGCTTGGACCTCTTTTATTTCTTGTTTTTATTAATGATCTTCCTCTGTCGCTCCCACCTAATTGTGAAATCTGTCTCTTTGCTGATGATGTTTTTTTGATTGTTCCTCTTTCCTCTACCGATTCTTCCAATTTTTCTCACGTTCAGAATTGTATAAACTCTGTTTCTCACTGGTTGCTGTGCCTTGTATGACAGTTCGTTTTCTCTTACTGTTCTTGATTCTGTAAGCAAACTTGCTTCTCGTGTTATTTCTCGCAATTTTGACTTCCGTTCTTCTAGTTCTCTACTTGTGTCTCAACTTTCTCTTCCAAATCTATCTCTTCGTCGTAAATACTTTAGACTTCTACAGTTTTTCAAAATTTATCATCGTCTAAGTCCTGTCTCTCTTTTTTATACTGTTCATCGTCCTCACTACTCATCCTTGCATCTTCATCACTCTAAATATGTTCGCATTCCATCTTCTGTTGTTGGTTTTTCTCCGCAAACGGTACATTCTTTTTTTTATTCAACTATTGCTGACTGGAATCCAGAGTCAATTATTCGTCATTCTTCTTTATTGTCTTTCAAAACAGCTTTGCTTTAGTATCTCTTCCAGTGAATCGATTGTCAGTTATAAATTTATATTTGCTCTTTTCTTTTCCTTATTTTCAAAAATTTTCTTTTCTTTCTTTTTTACTTTTAGTGTTATTTGGCTTGAGTCATCGTTATTACAGGTCTATGACCTTTGATGACTCTCACTTTTCGTGAATAAAACAGTCTTAGTCTTAATCTTAGTCTACACTTTTACCGTATCAGTAATGTCACACTTTGACCGTAGCGTCATTTCAAACATGACATTTTTACAGTTTTCGTATGGCACTAGTACTTTTAACTCAACCGTTGCAAAGAAAAAGTGCTTTGAGTTTTCAAGAATTCATTGTCGCATGTGGTTGTACAATCCAATTTGTCTTGTTTCCAGTTCATGTTGCGCGTTTTTATGGGTTTTTTCGTCCAAATTGTTGATAAAGGAACTTTTACAGCTATTTACTATTCATAAAATTAATTATGTTTCTGCAGAATGTTATGTAAAATTATTCATAGAAAATGATATAACTTATCAAACAATTCCTCAGTGCAAGTAAGTGTTGTAGAATGACCAAGAATGCATAAAATAGTCGGTCTAGGCTTAAATCAGGACGACTGGACCAATTAAGTTGCTATTTGGGATATGAGGGTTGGGAGACTTGCTCTTTTTAGGTAGCATATCGAGAAAATTATAGCTCTAATGCAAGTATGTTTCCTAGAAAACCACGTCTTTTATTTTCACGTCCTCTAATCCTAACTAGATGCTTTCTGAGAATAGAGCAGTCAGATAGAGAAAAGAATTCTATAAAAAGTGAGACCTCTCCGATCTCTCTACGACATCTTCTCCATATCACCGGAAAAAAAATAAAGTTGATTTACAGTTGCTGAAAAGTGCTTTTTCATACTCAGCACACTCGATAACCCAGAAGATTTTCTGTTTTTGGCTCGAGGTACTTCCGAAAGTTTAGGAAAAGTGAAGCCCGATTTTTGGGGCTGTTTGTACGACAGCTGTATTTCCATAACTAATCAATATTCAGAGCCAAGACACTTTTCATTTTGTAGAGAAATGTTTAATGTACTTAATCCTGTAGTTGCAATTTTAGATTAGTTTGTAGCTTTACTGCAATAATCTTTTGAAAAAGAGCGAAAAAAAGGATACCGTTAGCTGGACAAGCCGAGTATTATGAAGCATTAAACTTGGGAAGAATAGTCGTCGGGAATTATTTACTACCAGTTACTCCATAATGCTAGCAAACAAACTTACTTATTGTTCCAAGTGCTTTAAATTAGGACATATCGCTCTTGATTGTCAATTCCATCACCCAAAATGTCGTGTGTGTTTAAATCATTTTGACAATAATCATAAAAATCAATGTGACGGAAGATTTAAATGTGCACAGTGTGGAGGCTATCATTTCTCTCTAAACGAAAATTGCCAGACAGTACAAAATTATCGTTTAGAACTGAATAGGGCAGTTAAACAAGCGACTGAAAAAAGTGAACTAAATTATGATGCTCGTTCACAACAATTAAAACAACCAAAATAGAATGATTATCGCTATGAGGGATATGCATTCACTTTGCTAGTAAGAAATGTTAGATATGGTGGAAACCATTGGAAACTACAAGAAAATAATAATAACAATAACAACGTTGAAAATAAAAAGGAATTGATGGATATATTAAAAACAAGATGACAAAACAGTACATATTGTACACAGAACCGATTATGACCCTGCTCCTACAACAAATGTCCTACAAAAAGAAAAGAAAATGCGGACAGACACCTGCGGTATATTATTATTACATTATTTTGTACAGTTGAAGTTGACCATTTACGTTGACACTTAGTTTCAATTCATATCTTTACTGTAACCACAAGGTTGCCGTCCCTCGTTTTTCAGTTTATGCATGCCAGTCAGTTTCTTTTTGAGTTTTTGTCTTTATACGTCGCCTTCTCCCATAGTGTGTGTAATGGAACAGGTGTGTCGAATTACTTCAAACGAACAGACATCACTCCAAACAGGCAAAATCTTCGGATCTGTGTTAGTTCTATCCACATCATAAATTTTAATATCAACACAATCGTCTTGATTAAATTTATCAGCCAAATTTCTTAAGTATTCGTCATACACTTTTCGTTTTTTATTTGCCGTAGTTAAGTAATTCTCTGTTGTAGTTTACGTACTGATTCATGTCTAGGCGATTATACACAAAAGTCAAAAGAACTCGATGAAGATGGAGTATCAGCAGTGGACAATGTAGAAGAAACAACAACTGGTAATTGAGAAGCATCAAAATTTGGATTAGCAACAATTTCTGTAGAAGGCAATAGAGAAACATCTTCAACACATGACCCCTATGAGAGAATTTAGTTCATCAAGAACATCAGGCCCACGAACAACTTCAACTGAAGGAGAAACAACAGGAAAACTATCTGAAACTATTACAGAATGTGGTGCCAACAAAACATGTGAAACATTTTTTGAAGGTGACTTTGGAGAATCAAAAGAAATGAGATTATCAATCGAAGATGAAGGATTAAGAACGACAGCAGTACAAACAGAGTTAGGTGGAAGACCGAGAAGACATGCAGCAGCAGAAGTGGTATCATCCAATTTTGGATCGTCGGAATACAATGCATAAGGCTCGTTTTTGATAATAGCTGTTGAATTTATGTTGCTGTCACCATCATTCGTGTGATCAAGACTATCTTCAATCACCGTTGGCAGTTGTTCTTCATCTTGTATCTCATTGTCTTTAACGATTCTCCAAGACTCTTGATCAGATCGAGGTCTTTTGTCCAAACATCACTTCATACGGTGTACACTTTGTAGTTGATGACATTCGAGTATTAATTTCATATACAACAGGCAAAAGACCGTCAGATCAATGACTCGAATTCTCATCAGACATCCATTTTCCTAATTCACCTGTCAATACACCATTTGCTCTTTCAACACAACCTTGTGACTGCCAATGACGTGGTCTGTTTCGAACAAAACACATTGATGGAAATAGAACCTTTAGTTCAGTAATCATATTCGCAACAAACTCTAGACCGTTATCAGAACGGCGAAGACGCGACGGACCGAAAACATAAAACAAACTTCGAAGACATTTAGCCACTTCGGCGTCTGATTTATTTTGTCAAACCAAAGCCTAACAAAACTTCCTTGATGAAAAGTAACAAATTCCGGTACTTTGAAATTCTCCCATAGCTGTCCTACTTCCGTACATATACAAAAAGAAGTCTCTCGGCCGTGGATACGATCAGCGACTTCCAAAGCTCGAGTATTCCACCCGGGACATTAAAGAGAAGATCGGTTAGCGGTATTTTTTGACACTTAACTGAGTTACTATCTCTTTCACCGAATTTCTAGCACTTTACACTGTTGTAGTCTGCATATTGCTTTTTCTAGCTGATTACTTAAAACTACAGGGGAAAAAATGAACGCTAACAGGTTCATTTCGTTCTTAGATTGATGAGACAATGTTCGTGTTTTCTGCTGGACCATTTCTTACTTCTATTTCTACTGTCAATGTCGTTCTTCTTTGATTCGATATCATTGTTGTTTAATTGTAATGAGGGTTGGGAGACTTGCTCTTTTTAGGTAGCATATCGAGAAAATTATAGCTCTAATGCAAGTATGTTTCCTAGAAAACCACGTCTTTTATTTTCACGTCCTCTAATCCTAACTAGATGCTTTCTGAGAATAGAGCAGTCAGATAGAGAAAAGAATTCTATAAAAAGTGAGACCTCTCCGATCTCTCTACGACATCTTCTCCATATCACCGGAAAAAAAATAAAGTTGATTTACAGTTGCTGAAAAGTGCTTTTTCATACTCAGCACACTCGATAACCCAGAAGATTTTCTGTTTTTGGCTCGAGGTACTTCCGAAAGTTTAGGAAAAGTGAAGCCCGATTTTTGGGGCTGTTTGTACGACAGCTGTATTTCCATAACTAATCAATATTCAGAGCCAAGACACTTTTCATTTTGTAGAGAAATGTTTAATGTACTTAATCCTGTAGTTGCAATTTTAGATTAGTTTGTAGCTTTACTGCAATAATCTTTTGAAAAAGAGCGAAAAAAAGGATACCGTTAGCTGGACAAGCCGAGTATTATGAAGCATTAAACTTGGGAAGAATAGTCGTCGGGAATTATTTACTACCAGTTACTCCATAATGCTAGCAAACAAACTTACTTATTGTTCCAAGTGCTTTAAATTAGGACATATCGCTCTTGATTGTCAATTCCATCACCCAAAATGTCGTGTGTGTTTAAATCATTTTGACAATAATCATAAAAATCAATGTGACGGAAGATTTAAATGTGCACAGTGTGGAGGCTATCATTTCTCTCTAAACGAAAATTGCCAGACAGTACAAAATTATCGTTTAGAACTGAATAGGGCAGTTAAACAAGCGACTGAAAAAAGTGAACTAAATTATGATGCTCGTTCACAACAATTAAAACAACCAAAATAGAATGATTATCGCTATGAGGGATATGCATTCACTTTGCTAGTAAGAAATGTTAGATATGGTGGAAACCATTGGAAACTACAAGAAAATAATAATAACAATAACAACGTTGAAAATAAAAAGGAATTGATGGATATATTAAAAACAAGATGACAAAACAGTACATATTGTACACAGAACCGATTATGACCCTGCTCCTACAACAAATGTCCTACAAAAAGAAAAGAAAATGCGGACAGACACCTGCGGTATATTATTATTACATTATTTTGTACAGTTGAAGTTGACCATTTACGTTGACACTTAGTTTCAATTCATATCTTTACTGTAACCACAAGGTTGCCGTCCCTCGTTTTTCAGTTTATGCATGCCAGTCAGTTTCTTTTTGAGTTTTTGTCTTTATACGTCGCCTTCTCCCATAGTGTGTGTAATGGAACAGGTGTGTCGAATTACTTCAAACGAACAGACATCACTCCAAACAGGCAAAATCTTCGGATCTGTGTTAGTTCTATCCACATCATAAATTTTAATATCAACACAATCGTCTTGATTAAATTTATCAGCCAAATTTCTTAAGTATTCGTCATACACTTTTCGTTTTTTATTTGCCGTAGTTAAGTAATTCTCTGTTGTAGTTTACGTACTGATTCATGTCTAGGCGATTATACACAAAAGTCAAAAGAACTCGATGAAGATGGAGTATCAGCAGTGGACAATGTAGAAGAAACAACAACTGGTAATTGAGAAGCATCAAAATTTGGATTAGCAACAATTTCTGTAGAAGGCAATAGAGAAACATCTTCAACACATGACCCCTATGAGAGAATTTAGTTCATCAAGAACATCAGGCCCACGAACAACTTCAACTGAAGGAGAAACAACAGGAAAACTATCTGAAACTATTACAGAATGTGGTGCCAACAAAACATGTGAAACATTTTTTGAAGGTGACTTTGGAGAATCAAAAGAAATGAGATTATCAATCGAAGATGAAGGATTAAGAACGACAGCAGTACAAACAGAGTTAGGTGGAAGACCGAGAAGACATGCAGCAGCAGAAGTGGTATCATCCAATTTTGGATCGTCGGAATACAATGCATAAGGCTCGTTTTTGATAATAGCTGTTGAATTTATGTTGCTGTCACCATCATTCGTGTGATCAAGACTATCTTCAATCACCGTTGGCAGTTGTTCTTCATCTTGTATCTCATTGTCTTTAACGATTCTCCAAGACTCTTGATCAGATCGAGGTCTTTTGTCCAAACATCACTTCATACGGTGTACACTTTGTAGTTGATGACATTCGAGTATTAATTTCATATACAACAGGCAAAAGACCGTCAGATCAATGACTCGAATTCTCATCAGACATCCATTTTCCTAATTCACCTGTCAATACACCATTTGCTCTTTCAACACAACCTTGTGACTGCCAATGACGTGGTCTGTTTCGAACAAAACACATTGATGGAAATAGAACCTTTAGTTCAGTAATCATATTCGCAACAAACTCTAGACCGTTATCAGAACGGCGAAGACGCGACGGACCGAAAACATAAAACAAACTTCGAAGACATTTAGCCACTTCGGCGTCTGATTTATTTTGTCAAACCAAAGCCTAACAAAACTTCCTTGATGAAAAGTAACAAATTCCGGTACTTTGAAATTCTCCCATAGCTGTCCTACTTCCGTACATATACAAAAAGAAGTCTCTCGGCCGTGGATACGATCAGCGACTTCCAAAGCTCGAGTATTCCACCCGGGACATTAAAGAGAAGATCGGTTAGCGGTATTTTTTGACACTTAACTGAGTTACTATCTCTTTCACCGAATTTCTAGCACTTTACACTGTTGTAGTCTGCATATTGCTTTTTCTAGCTGATTACTTAAAACTACAGGGGAAAAAATGAACGCTAACAGGTTCATTTCGTTCTTAGATTGATGAGACAATGTTCGTGTTTTCTGCTGGACCATTTCTTACTTCTATTTCTACTGTCAATGTCGTTCTTCTTTGATTCGATATCATTGTTGTTTAATTGTAATGAGCTATTGTTCATGGAAATATCAGAATTAACTTCATCGTTTGTCGTTGTTCTATTCAACCTCATTGGCATATCCTCAAACTGAAAATTCAGACGCAGTCGTTCTTCGATATTAAGTAATTTTTTAACATACTCAACCATGATTTTTTTTATTTTCACATTATCATTTGTGGCTAATTTTACTACTGATTTCCCGACATCATGAACAAAACCACTATTGTTGATATGAACTCTTTTGTTATTATTTTATTCAATATTATATTTTTTTCATTCCGTTTAATAATTATAGCTTGTTTATCTGGTTTTTATTTGTCATCCCAATCTCTTTCACTATTTGATCTGTTTTATCATCTTGTTTTGTTAATATATCCGTCAATTCCTTTTTATTTTCAACGTTGTTATTGTTATTATTATTTTCTTACATTTAGCCAGTTCGGCATCTGATTTATTTTGTCAAACCAAAGCCTAACAGAACTTTGAAAAATGATCGATACAATTCAAAATCCACTGGAAAACAACATCACTTGAAATTGCATCTGGACGTGTACGCATGTCAATCAAGTCTGTTTGCAATCTTGTCATTACACCCAATGATATAATGGGTTTTGATACAACGGAGTGTGTAACTGGTTTACGAACCTGACAGGCAACGCAAAGTTTTAATAATATTTCAACAGCAAACCTTAGTACCCAAGAATAATGGAAATTAACTTCAGCAAGTGTTTTATCTCTCCCACTTAAAATGGTGAACAGCGATTCACATACACCCACAGGCTTTTTTGTCTTCGCACAGCACAGAAGATTTACACCAGAAAATTACACCAAAACAAACTTTTTTCTGCCCCGGAAAACAAAATTTGAAGAAACGGAATCCAAAATCTTACCTTTTTCGAGTAATAATGCTGTATGAATATTATCATATGTTTCTTTTTTAATAACTGATTTCTGCTGATATTTTTACTGTAAAATGCAGAGATATTTTTCTAATTCATCATAAAAATATTTTTCAGCAGTATCTGTTGGAGAAACAACAGTACAATGAACTATGACTTATTCATATCGTCAAGTTAACTGCTGCAATAACACCACAATAAACCGGAAAAGAAAGAAAAAAATCGTTTTACTACTAAAAAGGCACGTTTTCAGTCATACGAACGACATTTATATCTACAAAATAAAGTCAGATTGCACTATCTAACTTAGAATGTTAACAAAAATAAAAATAAAAATCGACCGGAGTTAGGAATATTCGTAGATGGTGTCAAGATTTTAATTTTGTCTAATTGTATTTAGACAAAACTCAAATTATAATTTTGTATTCGATTTGACCAGCCAAAACTAAAATTGGAGTTTTGCCCAGGCAAATTTAAAATTTGCCTGAATTTCAGCAAAGCAACATATAGTTTTCTTATCTTAGCGTCTGTGTTGTTATATTAAATTATTGTTATGCTTTTAGAGTAATGGCAACATCGTTAGTACTACCTGCTGATAATGAAGTCAGTGAATTTTTGAAACGAATTGCTAAAGAGTTAGGCATAGAATCAGAAACATCAGCGAATAAGATATTACAACTGTACTTACAAGATATAGCTAATAAAATAAAATTATTGAAACAAGTATAAAATAAAGGTGAAGTTCCTCGACTATTAGTTATTGGTCAAACAGGTGTTGGTAAAAGTAGCATGGTGAATCTTTTAGCTAACGACAATGTCGCTAAAGTGACTGATGCAGCAATTGGTTGTACATTTCAATTTGGTACATATCAAGTGCAGTATAATGATGAGCTATACGAACTAATTGATACAATTGGTTTAAACGAAAGTTCAAAAGGCAGAGTAGTACAAAAAGATGCAATGAAACAATTGATAAAGTTTATAAAACAAAATAAACGTGGTTTCAATTGTGTTATATTCGTACTGAAAAAAGGTCAGATTGATGATTCATTCGACAAAAATCATTATTTGTTTTATAAAACATTATTAAGAGAACAAATACCAGCATTATTATATATGTAACACATTGTGAACAAGATGATCCAATGTCGTCATGGATCGATAATGAAGATAATCTTCAAGCATTACATACATACAGATTTGTTGATGTTGTTTGTGGTACAACACAAATTGGTGGTAGATTTGCTGAAGCAATCAAAGTATTACGAGAAGAAACAAGACAAAATTTATGGAAATCAATAACACAGAATATGTTAGCTAAACCCGTAAAAGTTAAAGCAACGATGAATATGTTTAAAAAATTATGGAACTCAGTATGTGATTTCATTAATTTTGCTGACCAGTGGAAATTTCTTACTAATCAATTTCAAAATTTTCTTAATTATTTAAAATCATTAGGTGTGGATGATGAGACATTAGAAGAAATTAATAGTGCTTTACATTAACAAACTGAACGCATAGCGTTAAACCTGAGATCCTTACACTGTAAAAAATAGCCGTAGATTAATAAACTATCAAAAAGGGTTTATTGAGACCAATAAACCATTTAAAAAACGCTTTTCCGTTTTTTATATCCAAAAAACTAAAAAGCGTTCGTGAC